GCTGTCTTGCCCGAAGTTCTCTCCCTCAACACCCAATTCTGAAACAGTTCCTTCTTTTTCAGCAGCTGTTGCTGCCGCTGCAGCAGCTGCTGCTGCTGCTCTCCCTGCAGAATCAAAGCCTCAGCAGCCCGGCCAGCTGGTGGCTCCAGCGAGCCAGATCTATGCAGCTATCTGCAGCTAGCTGCAGCTAGCTGCAGATAGCTGTAGCTAGCTGTATCTAGACTGCTACCAATTCTATGAGCTGGGACCCAGGGGCCCCCTGGGGTCCCTTGGGGGCCCCTGGGGGGCCTTTTTTTTGAATAATAAATTCCTCTAATGTTGGGGGTTTCTGGAGATTTTAAAGAAGATTGGAACATTTTATTTTTGAATTGGAAGCAGCAAGTAGGGACTGCAGCAGCAGCTCTGACAGCAGCAGCAGCTCTGCAGTGCAGTTTATGATTTTGTTTTTTGTTTCTTTTGCTGCTTTGGAGGCCAAACTCAATTGAAAGAAGCAGCAGCAAATTCGCAAAACAATTCAAAAATGGAAAATGCAAAAGGTGAAGAAGCTGCTGCGCCTTCAACTCCCGTGCAAGCTGCGCTGCGCTGAGGTGTCTAGACACCTCAGGGGCCCGGTGAATGCAAAATGATGCTTTATTTTTATTTTTGATTTTTAATTTTTTGTTTTTTTCGAAAAGCTTGAAATTGCTTCGAATAAAGAAGTGGGGAGGATCTGCTGCGGACTGCTGCGAAGGAAAAGCTGAATAAACCCCTATCGAAACGAAGTGTCCTTGTCATTTTTGTCTTCTGTAGAAATATCTTTGTCATTTTTTCCCTCTTTTTGCAGATTTAAGTTCTTGAATTTCTTTAATTAAAAGAAGAATTAAATTCTAAAGTTGAAGAAGACTCTGGTGCTGTTCATAGAAGTCAAGAAACTGAAATGCAGCTTTTGGCAACAACAGGAAAGCAGCAGCAGCAGCAGCGAAATTCAACAAAAGTCAAATTAAAGGAAACGTAAAGTGGGAAATAATAATAACACTATTATATCTATTATATTTATTATTATTATTATTACTATTATTATTATTATTATTATTATTATTATTATTATTATTATTATTATTATTATTATTATTATTACTAAAAGAAAACAGAAGAACGGCGACAGTGGTTACTCAGAAGTGAATTGTGTGGCCATCAATTTGAATCAATTCAAGATCAACTCTGTAGACTCTTCTTTGCTGCTGCAGCTTGGCGAGTCCTTTGAAGAAGGAGGATTAATTAAAAATGAAAAAATTAATTAATTATTTATTTCCAAATGATTTTAATTAATTATTTATTTCCGAAGTGATGAATTAAACACTTAAAGTAGATCTGATGATTTCTGCGGATGCCTCAAGACTCTCTGCAGCAGCAACTTGCAGCAGCTGTTTTCTGCATCGGCTTCCCAAGATCGAGATTGGGAAATGAGTTAAATTGAATTTGGAGAAGTTGAATTTAATTTAATAAATAAATAAAATGAGAAAACAAACTGATGAACTCCTTTAAAAAAACTGAAATGGAAGATTCAGAGAAGATTGAATCTTTCCTTCATCTCAGTCTTTCAGTTGGTGGTACTTAGACTGCGTTTCTTCTTAAAAGATCTGTTTTATATCAAAACTGAAATACAAATGTCCAAAATATTAATTTAAATAAATAAATAAAGTTCGGTTTTGATTTGGAGAAAAGCGCAAAAATAAAGCCCGGGCGTGACTGGACCGCTGGCGGACCACTGACCCTTTGCTAGCTGCACACGGGGTTTGGCTGGGGCGCTGAAATTGCATTTTCCTTCTATTTTTTAATTCAAAATAAAATACTTTATTTCGTTTGGATTGTAAGCTTTGCAAAAGGGAGAAAAGTTTCACTCGAGTGGCGAGGCACGGCGGGTTGGCGCTCCTGTCTGCGTTGCGGGCGCGGCTCGCGCCGCGTAAAACCCCATTTCAAATCGAGATTTTCCTTCAAATAGCTTATTTTAAACATTTAAAGACAAAACTGACATTTTTTTTTAGTTTCTGCTGGTGTCTAGTGGCCAGAGGGTGAAGGCGCTCGGCTTGGGGCTGGCTCCGACTTCCCGTCAGCACGAGCGCTTTTAATTTTTTCAACTTTGAGGACTCTCTAGCATCTAAGTTGGCGCTTTTTAGGTTTTTAAATGTCTCAATCAAATTGGTCTTCTGGATTTTAAAGACAAAAGGATAAAAAATTAGGAAAACGGGAAGCTTGGGCAGCAGCACGCCAGCTGAACTCTCTGCGTTTCAGTGAGGTCAAGCCTCGGGCCCCAAAGCGCAGTGTGCAGCATGAAATCTGCGTCCTCTTTGCGCAATAAAAATTGTTGACGGCTTTTGTTTTTGAGCAATTGGAATATTTGAATCAATGGACTCTAATTTTGAGTGGCATTCCCGCAGCCGCCTCGCGGAAGCCGGCTGGTCCACCCGCGCAGTCGTCGGCCACCTTGCGCATTTTCGGGACTCTTTTGCGCATTCGCCGCTGCTTTTAAGCTTGATCTTCTAATTAAAATCAAAGAGGAGAGGATTTAATAGCGAATTTCGCGTTTTATTCCTCCCACTGGGTTTGTTTTACCCGTTGTCGGCCCATGTTCTGCACAGAGTTTCGCTGTCGCCTAGCTCCCACCGCGGGCTCGAGTGCCTCCATGGGGCGTTTTCGCGGATCTCATTTTCGAAAATGAAACGCGTTCTTCTTGGACTTTGTGGAATCTACCTTTTTGTTGCTTCGGCGTGTGGCCTTTCCCGGAAATCAGCAGACCTGCGCCTCCCAGCTGGCGTTGCTGCTGAACGGCGCGCGCACTTTGCTGCTGCTGCGCCCCTCAGAGAAGCCTCAAAAGAAAATACGAGACTCTACACAATTATACAAAATGAAAAAGGAGATAATTGGGACAATAGGCGCTCTTTAGGTGCAGCTTTCCCGGCAAAGGGGGCTCGGGGCCCCCCCAGGCGCCGTGCTGCAGCGGGAGCCCTGCGGCAGCAGCATCTGAAGCTGCAAGATTTCAGCACCGAAGATGTGGAAAACAAAAAAGACATTTTTCTCCAATTAAAGGGAGAAAACGAGCCCGCTAGCTCTGCTGCTGCTGCTGCTGCTGCTGCGGGAGAGCCGCCAGCCAACGGCCAGCAGACAGCAGCAGCAGAGAAGCCCAAGGCTGCAGACAACTCTGCAGCGCCTGCTGCAGAAGGCCCTGCTGCTAATGCTGCAGCCTCTGCTGGAGCAGCCGATGCAGCCTCTCCCCCAACTCGTGCTGTTGCAAATGACGCAACAGCTGCAACAAAATCTGCTGCAGCAGAGACGGCTCCACCCGTTCCGGAAGGTGCTGCTCCATCACCCGAAGCTGCTGCTCCACCAGCTCCTGCAGGAGGTGCTCCTGCAGCAGATGCTCCTGCAGCAGCTCCTGCAGCAGACACTGCTGCAGCAGCTCCTCCAGCAGATGCTGCTGCAGCAGCTCCTGCAGCAGATACTGCTGCAGCAGATGCTGCTGCAGCTCCTACAGCAGAGTCTGCTGCAGCTCCTACAGCAAAGACTGCAGCAGCTTCCACATCCGAGGCGGCTGCTGCTCCTACAGCAGAGGCCGCTGCAGCTCCCTCAGAAGACACTGCTGCAGCTTCCGCATCAGAGGCTGCTGCAGCAAAAGCTGCCATAGCTGCAGCAGCAGAGAGCGCGCCGCCTGCTCCTGTAGATCTTCCTGCGGATTTTAAGTGGCAGCTTCCGCCTCGGTCCCGGAAGAAGTCCAAAGATGTGTTCAAGTCGTTTGCACTTGACCTGCAGGAGAAGCTGGCGCTGCACGACTCTGGAAAGTCCTATTTCAAGAAGCAGCGGCACTTCGTGGGCCCCACTGCTGCTGCTGAAGGGCTCAGCAGCAAAATGTGCAGCAGAGTGCTGGTGCGGGTGGTGCAGCAGCCGTCGCCGGGCTCGCTGTTCTTCTCTTCTGTCATGGCGCGGCTGGGCTCGGCTTTCCGGAAACTTCGAGCTGCAGGCCGCATTGTGAAGCTGAAGTTGAATAAACTTTTTGTTTCCAAAGGGAAAAAAAAGTCCAGCAGCAAAGCAGTGCAGTGGATCAAGAAGATGGCCAGCAAGGCCTGGGCGCGAATGTGCACCATTCTGAAACGCATCTTGACAACTGTGATCCGCTTTCTTCCTTTGATCCTTTTCATCACGAATATTGCATTTGTTTCCGTTTCCATTGTTTCCTTCGTGGCTGCGCCCAACCCGCTGAGCTTGCTCGCGATGATTTCGACTATTGTGAATCTGCTTTCCTTCGTCTTCAACAGCGCCATGCAGATGCACATGAAGGAAGTGACGCAGCAGTCTTTGGGCGAGAACTCCGAAGAAAAAGACATGGAGCTTTTTGGCCTCAGGTGGGGGGAGTTGACTGCGGAAGAGGCCCTGGGAGGCGAAGACTTGAAGCAGCGGGAGCTGGAAGAGGAAGTGACCTCTTCTGCGGCGAAGACAGAAAGCAAACCACAGAAAGAAGAAACCAAAAGACCAACAGAGCCGTCTTCAGAGGCTCAGACGGCAGCTTCCTCTGATGCAGAGGGAAAACAGCAGCAAAGCGCCGCGCAGCGAAAAGCTGCAGAGCCCGAAGCAGCAGCGCGGAGCGCAACAGCAGCAGCAGCAGAAGAAGCGAAAGCTGTGGGAAGCTCCGCTTCCCTGGCAACGGAAGAAAGCCAAACCTCCGGAGGTCAACGAGCTCCGACAACTTCGGAAAACGTGCGTCAGATTATGTTGAAACGCATCAAGGAGAACAAAGCGCAGATCAGTTTCGAGAAGGCGAAGGCCCAATTCAAGAAAGCCAAGGCCGAAAAAGCAAAAGGAAAAAGAAGAGCGTGGAAACTGGCAAAGACCAGCGTCAGACTCACTGCAGAAGCTCTTAATGTTGGACTTCACAAAGTGCTCGCGCGCTTCGGCAGAGCCTGGCAGTGGGCAATGGTAAGACAAAGAGCGCATTTTGGCTCATTTAACGCGATTCTTTGCCATTTAAACGCATACTTGTGCTTAGTTTTACTCAATAAGTACTCAGTTTGCAATTTAGTTGCCTCTCCTTCCGTTTTTTGCCTTTTCGGGCCCGCAGGAGGTTGGCCTCAGGAAGATCATCCGGCATTTCCGCATGCTGAAACTGTTCGGGGTTGTGGCAGCTTGGTTTGAAAAGGCAGAAACCTTTATTCGTTGGTTTGGAGGCGAAGGAAAGTTTTACTTTGCCATTTTCGACACTTTCAGGGGCTCTGCTTCCTTTTTAGTTCAGAATGCAGACAAGATTTCCGCCTTGGTCCGGGGCACGATTCACTTTTCCGTGTCTGCACTGGACTCTACTCTCTTTCTCGCCATGCTTTTAAACGCAATCACCAAACCCGTTTATGGCCTTTACTTTGCCTACCAAGGAATGCTCGAAGATAAGACAAGAGTGCAGGCGCTCGAAGAGTTTCAGTCCAACAAAAAGGCTCTAACGAACTTCTTGCTGGGCACTGCAGCCGTGCAAGCGCAAATGGGGTAACAAGGCAACGCAAATTAATCTTTCTTTGAACTAATCTTTCTTTAAATCACTCTTTCTTCAAATTAATCTTTCTTTCGATCTCGCTAGCTGCTGCCCACGCTAATTTGCCAGCGGACATGTACTGTGTAACTTTTCGCATTAGCAGGGCAAATTGCAGCAACGAGAAACGCCGATCTCAATCGCATTTCATCCTTTTACAAAATTGTTTACCATTTATTAGCAATGTGAACCATTTAAAACTCAAAGTTGGGGCATTTGTCTGCGTGTTTCCGTTCTAAATAATCTTTCAGAGAGGAAGCAGCATTCCAAGTTCCAGGGCACGAACTGCAGGAAATGATTTTCGTAGGTTTTGCAGCAATTCAAAATTACCTCTTTTTAAATCCTCGGTTTAAACCTTAACCTCTAAGCCATTAAATTAAATTAAATCGGGAAGGGCTTTTCCTTTGCTTCTGTGGAGTTGTTGCGTCACCTCTTGTTCTCATTTGCTTCTTTTTCCTGAAGATCCCTTCCGATAGACGATTTATTTATTTATTTTTCATTTAATTGCACTTTATTTTGCATTTCTTTTTGCTGCTGCAGCACATGTCCTACTTGGAGCAGTACAAAGCCTACGACTTGGATGCAGAGAAGCTGCGGGGAATGAACCCTCTGCAGGCTTATGCGTTTCACGACCGCATTGTGCGTCTCAACACTTTGCTGAATAAAATGAATAAAGAAGAAAGAAAGAAATTTGAAGGCGTTTTCAAAGACTTGAAGGAATGGAATATCGAGGAAACTGCGACAGCTGCAAGAGACGCGCTGCTCAACCATGTGCAACATTGTGTCTTATTAGGTCCGTTTTTTGCACTTTTTTCATTGGTATTTATATTTATTCACATTTAATATTTGTTTGTCTATGTCTGCATCTATAAAATATGTTCAAATTCGCAAAATGCATGCATTGCAACTACATTGGCAGATACACAAAATGCGCTTGTTTAACCTCATATTTGCATGCACATGAACATTTGTGTGCATATTTGTAGAGGCAATCTACTCTTTATAATTTATTATGTTCTTGCCTATAAATATGTATATCTTTGTTTGTGTATCTATTTATATATGCGGGAACTGCTGAAGACTTCAGAGTAATGCCTTTTTCGTGCCTTTTCTCCTTTGCTGTGCAGCTTGAACGCAACTTCTGCTAATCTTCACCTCTGTCTTTCTTTTCGGGTTATCTTGTGCTATTTCTCCTTTTATTGTTGCATTTTCTGAAGGTTTTATTTCGTCTTGTCTTATCCAAGTTTTCTTTTGTTGCATTTGCTGCAGCCTCTCACAGGGAGCTCCGCCGCCGCATCTACATCAGCGCGTACAGCTTCCTCAGCAAAACTGGAATGACAAGAAGAAAAGCAAAAGGAATGAGCCGCTCCTTTTCAAAAAAGATTACCCACACTCTCACTTATTCGCGTAAGCCAGTTGCTGCAAATGGGCCACGAGCTTGGACTCAGCCTCAGAGATTAAGCAGCTGGTCTTGAAGCTAAATCGCAAGTTTCAAGCTTCAGAGTTGCATGCAAAGTTCCCAACTCATTTCCTCGGGGTTTAGGGCTTAGGGTTTAGGGTTTAGGGCTTAGGGTTGCAGGTCTCGAATGTATTTAAGACACATCGGGGAGAAGGAATGCGTCGGTGTTCATGGCTTGTGCTTTATGGCTTGAAATTTTGAGAACAATTGCATAGTCTGCTAGAGAATGCAGAAGGCCTATTAATTAATTTCAGTTAATTAATTACTTTTAATGCTTATTTGTCGTTTTAAAAGCGATTTGTAGCATCCGATCAGCTCCCGTTGATTTTCTGTTTGCGCTTTCTTCTTTGTTTGAACAGCAACGCTGGCCTCGAACCCCAGCCGCCTCATCTTCGAAGTCCGCCAGGCCATGATGGGCAAATATGTTTCTTTTCTTGTGCCCGACAACGCCGGGCGACTCGCGATGATTGTTTATGACATTGTCGTTGATGTGCTCGGCAAGGAGATCGCACGTGAGGCCTCTGAGCGTGGACATGCATGCAGATACATGCATATGCATGCACTTTTGAATCTATATACACACATGCATGTATCTATATATGTATATATGTATGTAATATAAATATATATATATATATATATATATGTATGTTTGGTGCATATAATGGATAGAGGCACTCAGGACTATTTACACGACCATGCAACACATACAACCTTGCATACACTGATTTGCACGCATGTTCGCATTCATATTTGTTTATGCATTCATTTACCTCGAAAATATATATTTCGAATGAAGTATTTGAAAGCATTTGCCTAAATCCACGCATGCAAGCTGCCAAGAGGGCAATCGAATGCCTGCAAATGTGTTCTGTTGCAGATGTAAAGAAGAGCCAGCATATCTACATATAAATTAATGGACAAATACCTGTGGCAGTGTACAGATATAAACATTTATATTTTTATTGCTAATTCAAAAAGATATACCCGCAAAAACATGCATGCACACCCTTCTCTTATTTAGCTTTGATGAAAGATTTCACCGCTGTCTGGTGATGACAATATCGAATTAAAAGGCCTGTTTATAGATTTTTCGCCTTTTTGTTTCTTTTTGCTTTTGCTAATTTGCTGATTTGGTTTTATTGATTTGTGTTTTCTGCACAGTGGAGGTTCCTGCTGGCGGAGGCAGCGTGGTGGACACTTCCTCCATTCACGTGAACTTGTTGCCTTTTCGCTCGTCTCTGAGCCTTTACCACCTTTACGAGTCTTTGCAAAAAGTATTTACTTTTTCTTTGACTCCTTCGGAGCAAAGAAATGTGTCTTTACACGCTCAACTGGGGCAGATCATCACGCAGGACACCTGCGAGCCGATCCGCCCGGTTATTGCAATTCTGCCCCAAAGAGATGCTGCAATTATCCGATTTGGGCAAGACAACTGCAGCAAAATAGCAGCAGCATCTTTTTTGAAGTCGCAGGCAGAACCAGTGGTCAGGAGGTTCATCAGAGAAAGCGTTTTCGAAATCACCAAAGACCAGTGCGCTCCCTACGAGACCGAAGGTGAAGCGCTTTAATTGCTGCTCTTCCACCTTAATTGCTGCTCTTCTACTCATGCACAGATATTTTAAACAGTTCATTCTTTTTGATTTAATTTAAACTTGCATTCAGCTCTCACTTCATAGAACAAATGGATATGCTTGCTGCTGCCATGCTGAGCTTATCTCTGCGCCTAAATTCTGCTTTTTTTCCGTTTCTTTTGTGTGTATATGAAATAAATTGGCATTTATTTAATAAAAAATTAAAATCACACAAGTTAAGCATTTCAATTTGCTTGTTTCTTGCTATGCGGGTCCTATTTTTTGTGTTCAGTTTCCGAGGCGATCGACATCGCCATTGACCAGATTTTGGTTTCCAATCTTCCTCAAGATCAACATGAAGCTGCAATTAAACACTCAGTGGAGGAATTGGGAGATAAATATTCTCATATTGTCGATGCTGCCAGAGACCTCGCCACAGCTGCGCAGCCAATTCACGTGAAAACATTTCGCACGTTTCGGCTGCTGCAAAATGTCGCAATGGCTTACGGTAAACACAAATATAAATAAACAAATACACAAATAAATAAATAAATAAATAAACAAGTATTTGACATCTAATTCGGACATCTTCAATTCAATTTAATTACTTTAACTCTTTAATTCAAGTGCGAGCTTTTCTGTCGGGCTTATTTTGTTTGCTGTGATCATTGCGCTTATTTGACCTGAATTTGTACTTTTTTGGACTTCTTTGTCTAGGTTTTTGAGTTATTTTGTACATTCAACTTATTGCATGCAACTTACTGCATTTGGTGCCAGAATCAAGGGGAAAGAAGATGGAAATAAATTGTATTCTTTGTTCATGGCATTTATTTTCCCCTCTTCTTTCGTCTTTTTTATATTTTAAATTCATCGGCCAATTATTTTATGCTTTTTACTCATGTATTTGCCTTGAGACTGCGAAAAGTGCCGGCAAGCATATCTTTTTTTAATATCGATTTTGAGTGTTTTTCGAAGTGACAAACGCAAAAAAGCTTCACTGCATCTCTTGAATTAACTTAAACTCTTTTTATTTCTTTTCTGACAGAACAACAAGCCATATTTAAGGCGATGATCGAGGCAAGGCTCAGGAAACACTTTGGGGTTTCCACAGGCTTCAACTCCCAAGTGCCTGCCCTGGTGCAGCAGCTCTACATGGAGTTCGAAGAAACCAAAGCTTGTGAGGCAAAACCGAGAAATAAATTCAAAAAATGAATATAATTATACTAAGTATAATCATTAGGCGGATAATAATGTTAATAAAAGATTAAATTTGTTTCGCAAGCTGAAGATGGCGCTATTGCTTACAGTATCCAGCCGCAGCAACAGCCGCAGCACAACGAGTGGACTGTGAATAGCAAAAATTGGAAAAAAGGATAATATGGAAAATAGGAAATGAAACAAACCACAATTTAGGGTCTAGGGTTTAGGGTTTAGGGTCTGGGGTCGGAGTAAAGGCGCTCTAAACCTGTCTCAGGAGGCCAGCAAAGGATATTGGATTTATTTCTTTTTCAATTTTTCTCGTTTTCTCAGACTGCAAACACTGCGCCGTGAGATATTTCTCGGAATTAATTCAAAATTCAATTTCGGAAGTTACAGATAAACAAGAAGAATCATTCTTGACGAAACTTTTCGCCAGAATATTCGCATCCGCCATTATGCAGCATATTGAGGCAACCATTCCAGGTAGAGCCATCAACTGTAGAGTTTACTATTAATTATACTTCTTTTTTTCCTCAAAAATAGTTTAAATTGGGAAGAAAACTTTTCATTAATGCCTTGTTGTGTCATGCAACAGGTTCCTTGCTTTGCGAGAGAAACTGTCCGCATGCAGCTATTTTCTGCATTTTTCCGCTATTTCTTTCCCCAAAACATTTCAGCTTTTATTCTTTTTTTCGTAATTTTACAATTGTTTTAATTACAAAACGAAAGGACTATCAGGGGCAGGCTAAAGTGTTTGTTTTCCACTTCCGCGGCTTCCCGCTCTCTCGTTTTTCTGTTTTCAGTTGGGCCTGAACCAGAGCACTCGCCAGAGTACAATGCGGAGATTCATTTTTTTGCGATAAGTAAAAAAAAACAGAAAATTAATAAATCCCAAAAAAGTGAATCGAACTAAAATAAGCAGCAGCGCAGCAGTCCTTGCGGGCCTGTTTTGCTGCCTCCCCAATGTTGACAATCCTGGCCATAACAGTTTTCAGTCCAATTTCTTTTGAGTGAATCGTTTGCACTTCTCTCTCTCTCTCTATATATATATATATATATGTATATATATGCAAATATATGTACATATATATATATGTATATATATATACTCCTCACTTGTGGAATATGCCCAAGTTTGTCAGTCTTCAAATCTGTATTGGCAGCAGCTTGAGGCTGCAGCACAAAGCAAACTTTCCATGGACAGCTTTTAATATTTAATTCGTGCAAATACTTGTTTTATGATTTTACGAATTTGCATAAATTTGCATTTCTTCTCATTCGAACTGGACTCGCAAGTTCTGGTGCATTCCCTTTGCAGATTTGCCAGCTATAGACCCTTTGGCCACAGCTGTTGGTGAGTAATTCAATTTCCTATCAATTAAACAATCAAACTGGGTTAAATAAAGAAAATACTTTTTAATGAAAGTCTAAATAATCCGAAAAGTGTGAATTGAGGGCCTAAACTGCAGGGCTGTTTCCACTTCAGCAGCAAGTTCGTTTCCAGTGCTTGTACTGGTGTCTGTTTCTGCCCTTTTTTGGTCGTTTTCCTTCGTTTTTCTCTTTTTTGTGTTTATATTATTGAATTGTACATGTTTATTATACAAAACGTTGTTTAAATGCATCAATTGTGCATTTGCTGCAGTAAAATTCTTCTATTACTCTCCCGAGGGCGAAAGCGAGGCCACGCTGGAGGTGCTGCTGGGCCAGTCGCTGGCCGCAATCGCCCAGGGGCTGCACGAGGCGCAGCAGCAGCAGCAGCAGCAGCAGCAAAGCAGCAGCTCAGACGTGGTGCACCGTTTGCTGCAGTTTGTGCGGAAGAAGTCTTCCTACGAGGACGAAATGGCAGCTGCGCGCCGCGAGGCTGAGGAACAGCAGCAGCAGCAGCAGCAGCAGCAGCAGCAGCAAGAGCCGCCAGTAGATGAATCTGAATTGTTTCCAATGCTTAACCGCGCTTTTCACACTGTCACGGAAAACGTCAAACAGCTGAAAAGCAGAATCATCGATTATCTCAAGTATGGACAGCACTTTCCAAGTAAGAAATCTGCAGAAACTTGAAAATGCAAAAAGCGAGAAACCCTCATTTTGTCTTTTTTTTTGTTTAATTGTTCCTTTTACGCTATTTACTTGCTGCACTTCTTTTGATTTTCCTCTTTTTGTTCTTTTGATTTAAATTTAATGTTTTTATTCCGACAAATAAAGCCAAATAGACTTTGTTCAAATGGACTTTGTTTCTGAACTTGCCTGCCTTTGCCTGAGGACTTTCTGGCGGCGCGTCGGGCTGGCTGACATGTTTCCTTTTCCAATTTTCATTTTATTTGATGTATTTTATTTATTTTGATTCGTTTTAATTTATTTTAATTTATTTTTAATTTATTTTGCTTCCCAGGGAGTTCTATGTGCTCCGACACCCACTCTCCCGCCCTTTTGCGCTTTTCAACTGGGCTTTCTGGGCGCCTCACGGAGGCTCTGGATGCGGCGGCGTGAGTGGCCCTACTTGGCTTTTAAAAGCCTTTAAAACTGAACAGATAAATAATAAGAAGTAAATAATGAAAGGGTTTTAAATAAATAGAAAAGCATACACAAGTAAGGGTTCATAATCGCACTGGTGCCGTTCTGTGGACGCATGCGCCGCATACAGATGGACTTAAATGCAAGTGCAAAAGAAAACGAACAAATGAATAATTAAAGTCGATTCTTTTTTAAATTTATAATTTGGCTTTTTTTTCTGTTTAATTTCACCCCCGACAAAGTGTTTTTGGTGCATCTTTGTTGGTTTTATGTAGATGTCTACTTGTGCAAAAGAGACTGTCGTGCAGAATGAGAAGGTGAAAACAAATAAACGGCTAATTGCATTAATTTGATGTCAAATTTTAAGAAGTTTATGGTTTCACTCAACTAGGAAATAAGTTTTTGCCGTCGTTTTGTCCAATAAGTAGATGAAGAACTAAATGAAAAACTCCTTTTCAAAAAAGGAATAAAACATGAACAAGTCTAGCTCACGGGCCACTCAGGTGCTCCAGGACTCCGAGTTCAACGGGCCACAGTGTCTAAGCCTTCGCGTCTAGCTTCTAGACTTCAGGGTTTATCATTTACTACTTAGAACTCGGCGTTCAGGGTCTAGGGTTTAGGGTTTAGGGTTTGGGGTTTGGGGCTCTGCAGGCGAAAGGTGCGGGGCCGCGCGTTTCGGCGGCGCGGCCGCCGCGGCTCCGTTTCGCTTTTGGTGTTGGACGTTTTGGAGTTAATTGAAAGTTTGAATTTGCACGGAGTGGACGGCAGTCGATTTTTGCTGGACCTTCGCTACAGCTTCCGGCCCCAGCCCCCGCCAACCAGTGAGCTTCCCGCCTTCAGCTCCACCGCGGGCAGTTTCCTTCGCCACTTAGCGCCGATTAATTCGCAAAATGGGGAATTCGGAGGGGGGTTGGGAGTTTCGGGGGAAAAAACGACAAATAGAGCCTTTATTTCACTTGAAATCGATCAAGTGCCAAAGCGCCGGGATTTTCGTGCAAGTTTCTCCGATTTTCAAATTTGAAAGTGTTCATTGTGGATTTCGTTCGTTTAATGTCGATTAATTTGTAAATTGTCAGGGAATTTGAGGGGAAATTCGGGATTTTTGGAGAAAAAAACGGCAAAGAGAGCCTTTGATTCACTTGAAATTGGTTAAATGGCGAAATGCTGGGGAATTTGAGGAAACTTTCCATGATTTCTCAAATAAAATGATTCAAAGTATCTTTTTTGCATTTAATGTTAATTAAATTGCAAATGTTGGGGAAAGATTGGAGATTTTTCGAGAAAAAAAGACAAATAGAGCCTTTAATTCACTTGAAATCAACTAAATGTGCCGAAAAGTGGGGGAATTTAAGGAAATTTTCCATGACTTTTCAAATAAAACTGTTAATTGTGTCTCTTATTCATTTAATGTCATTTAAATTGCACAATGTTGGAGAATTTGAGAGGAAAATCGGGAACTTTTCGAGAAAAAGTGGCAAATTGGAACTCTAATCCACTTAAAGTTAGTTCAATGGCGAAGAATTGAGAAATTTGGAGAAGCTTTCCCTGATTTTTCAATTAAAACAAATTAAAGTGCTTTTTAATCACTTAATTTGGATTAAATGGCAAAAAATGAGTTATTTGGGGAGAGAATTGGGGATTTTAATGCAAAAAAACAAATAAGACTTTTTTCATTTAAAACTGATTAAACGGTAAAAAGGTGGGGAATTAATGCAAGCTTTCCAGGTTTTTCAATTAAAGCAATTAAAAGTAATTTTAATTAATTGAAAATCAATTGAATGAAATAAATAAATAAATAGTTTTCAACGGTTGTGACGAGGAGGCTCATGCTGCAGCTCTTGCTGCTGCCTGCAGCAGCAGCAGCAGCAGCAGCAGCAGCTGCTGCTGCTGCTGCGTTGTTGTTTGGGACTTTGCTGCTTCACTTATTTGATTTGCTGCTGTGTGTTGGCGTTTCATTCTGGCGTTTGCTGCGCTGCTTTTTGTGCTGCAGCGTCTTCAGCAGCAGCTGCTGCTGCTGTTGCTGCTGCTGCTGCTGCAGCGCCGTCGGCAACGGAAGACATTGGGTCTTCCATTCTCGGGCAGCTGCGTCTTCAAGGAAATGAAAAGTAGCAAAGTTGCTGTTGTGTCTGCAGAAGAACAAAATGCAGATTCGAAAAGGCTTTCCGACTTTTTCTCGTTTGCAGAAAGTGCAAAAGCTGCACTTTTCGCATTTGATGCAACTGTTCGCCGCTGCTTTTCCAGTTTTATTATTTAATTCATTCATTTATTTGTTTGTTATTTATTGGCATTTATTTTATAGATGGCAAATGTTTGTTTGTTGCTTCTTTTCTCCAGTTTGAACTGAACCGGCAGCGGCGCATGCAAGCAGTGCTGCGCACAGAAACTGCGCAGCTGTTCGTTGCAAACTTTATTTGATTTGTGAAAATAATAATAAAATATTAATTTTAAATATTTAAATTCAAATTATAACAAAAGAATGGTTCTTCTGCATGCAACTCACAACAACTGCTCGCCTCCTCCGGCGGGGCCTCTCCGGTTTTATTCAAACTTTTATTTTCGGAAACTTTCAATCACTTTTATTTCTTAAAGCTTCCAATTACTTTTATTTTTCAAGTACTTTTAATTACTTTTATTTTAAAAATGCTTTTAGTTACTTTTATTTCTTATTCAGCTCTTCTCCTAAGTGAGCCTTCGGCCGCAAGTCAACGGGGTGTACAGACATCTCACGCAAACTGTCACCAATTCTACAAGTGCAGCCATTATACAAAACTACAAATATAAAACGCCTATATATAATATAATATAGTACAAATGCATCTAAATATATTATATAAAGCCCCATTAACGCATGCATGCACGCACGCATGCATGCATGCATGCATGCATGCATGCATTCCAAACCTGGCTTTGCCCACTCGGGGCCGGACAAACTAGTAGAAGAAAAGGCGAAAAAGAGCTGGAGGGGAAAACGCCTCAAATTAAAAAGAAAATATGAAAAGGAAAGCTCTTCAAAATGGGACTACTCTAGAGGAATGTTTTTTTCTTTCCCAAACTCAACAACTTTACATTCCGTTTCTGTTTTGCAAAATTGAATGCATCGAGCGCCAGGACCCCCCTTTGGGGTGTACGTACACTGCGGCGCGCTCGCAGCCCCTTCAGTTTGCACTTTTGTTAATGGCATTTCTTTCCAAATTGGCAACTTTTGGGTTTTCACTAATCGCCATTTGCTGCTTCATCTGCTGCTGCTAAATATACATACATATATATATATACATATATACACCTATACACTTATATACATATATGTATATACACAAATATAATAATACATATATATACAATATATATACACAAGTACGATAATATATATATATATACAATATATATAAAATGATGCATTATATATACATGTACAATATTATATATATATTCATATATATAATATTATATATATATGTATACAATATATATTATATATATATATGTATGGATAAAAAACGGAAAAGAGGAGTGGCAGTGTCTGTCCAGCACCCAGTGTGGAAGCAAAGAAGAACAAGAGTGAAATATTAATATTAAAATGAATTAATACTAATATAGCATTAATGTAAATATTAATATAATATTAATATAACATTAATATAACATTAATATAAATTGTGAACTTGGGAGCTTCGTCGGTGCCGGGGGTTTGGCTCGTTGTGCTGAGGTGTACGTACACCTCAGCACGGCGCGCGTTCCACTTTTCGGTTTCCAGCCGCCTAAATCCGCGGGAGATGTTCTTTATTTTTGTTTTAAATAGTTTTAAATAGCAACAATGCCAATTTAATGGAACACAATTCAATTTAATTCGACCTAATTCCCTTTTAATTCCACTTCCGCCGCCGCAGCCCCCGCCCCGATAGGTCGCTCACGAAATACGGCGAAGAGCTTTCCCCCCAATTTGAATTTGAATTTTCAAATTTAAATTCATTTTCATTTTCATTTTCTGACTCTGCCGAATTTTCAAATTCGGAATCATTCCAGTTGGAATTAAAGAAGTCGAAAAAAGAAAAAGTCGGGACTTCCGCGCCTGAGGAGAAGTTCGAAAGAAAGAGAAATAAAAAAATTCAAATTCTTCTTTTCAACTTTCAGTATCAAACAGGAAAAAGAAGTGGTAGCAAAAGAAAAGTTAATTTGAAAAAACAAACTTTAAAAATAAAACAGCCAAAGAAAGGCCCAGAGAGTCTCTGCTGCTTTTCTTGAAGCAACTGCGACAGCAGCAGCAGCAGCAGCAGCAGCAGCAGCAGCGTTACCTGGCGCATGCCTGGAGAAGGCAATATTGGAAGTATCTGCTGCACCGAAGAAAGAGCTGCTTAGGGGTTCTTGCTGCTGCGAAGAAATCCGAACTTGTCCTGCGTCAGCAGCAGCAGCAGCAGCAGCTGCTGCTGCTGCTGCTGTTGGGTCAGTTTGCTGCAGCACCGGCTGCGCCCTGACGGCCTGCTCTGTGGTGCTGACGGGAATTTCCCGGCCAAGGGAAAAAACTGCTTCCCCGCTGCTTGCATCAGCAGCAGCAGCAGCAGCAGCAGCAGCTAAAAGGAAGCATGCAATCAAAGACAAGAGGCGCAAGAAAGGACCCAGGCTTAAAGGCTTCATCTTTTCCGAAATCAAAAAGACAGAGTGGCAAAGTTGGCGGAGACAGCGGAGCTGCGTCTGCAGCAGCAGCGCAGCAGCAGCAGCAGCGCAGCAGCAGCAGCAACAGAAACCCACTATAGACTTTCAAGACCCTAAACCCTCAAGCAAGAAGTGATTCATCTCGCTAAAGCACCTTTGTTGCAGCTGCTCTGTCTGCGCTAGAGAGAAGGAAGCGCTAAACCCTAAACCCTAGAGCATCAGGGTTTAGGGTTTAGGGTTTGGTTAGCCGCTTCGCGAACTGCTGCGCAGAGGGGACTCACTGAGAAGTTTTGGAAACTTTTAAAAGTGAGCGAAGATGAAAATGAAGAGGAAAAGGAAAAGCAGGTCGCCGCTTGAGGTGTACAGACACCTGAAACCCTGTGCTGCGCGGCGCTGCGGAATCTGGACTTCGGCAGACAACTCTGTTGGAAGTGGAGAAAGAAATGAAGTTAAAATGAAAAATGAAAATGAACTAAATGGGACTTGGAAGGAATAAATGAACGAGGTGGACATACAGCCGAATTGGGCTCCCGGCGAGCAAGTTGAACGAGCGGAGCGGAAGGACTGCCGATCCGGCCCTTTCGGGGGGGCGTTTTGGAATTAAAAAGAAGAACAATAATTAAATAAGTTGAATTTGAAGTTTTTTTGCATAAAAAAGGAAAGAGAAAGGAGAAAAAACAGAAAGTACGGACGGCGCGAAGCCGGTTTCTGCAATCGACGGCTAGCCAGGCCTGCGCGCAGCTGCAGCCGCCGCTGCTGCGTTCTTTCGCGGGCAAACTTGAATTAAATAAGTCCAAAAGGTCTAAACATCTCAAAAGAGTGAATTGGAGACAAAAATAAAACCTTTGGAGCCACAAATGGCCAAACCTCCCGCCTCAGCCCTGTTCTCAAGCCGCAGCAAGCCCCAACCGGCGCGCAGCCGGAGGGCTTGTGGGGAAGGGCCCAATGGCCGCGGTCCTGAGGTGTACGTACACCTCGCGGCCTCCAAAGCTCAACTTGTTTTCTCTTTCTTCTTTCATTTCATTTCTTTTGCTGCAGGACTTCTCAAAGCCCCGGAAGTGAGCGCTCCGCGGCCCCACGGCCTCGCTGCTGCAGCGGCCCGCAGCAGCAGCAGCAGCGCGGAATAAACTCTTAATTTGTTCCTTTTCTTCTTTGGTGCCTCATAATTAATTCATTTCCCTTTCTTGCTGCTGCTGCTGCTGCTTCCCAGAAGCCTCGAAGGCAGCAGCAGCGTGCGGCGCGTTCTCGCGCGCAGTGCCTTTCGGTGAATGTACACCTCAGTTGCGAATGCATTTTTATTTTTATTTTTCATTTTTGCATTTTTTAAAACTTTCTTTTCTTCCTTTCTTGTGGCTGTAAATTCATTTCCTTTGGACTTTCTCGCTGCCCCCTTTTTGGCCCTTTGCATGCATCAAAAAGAGACCAATTTGCAAAAAAAAGAAAAGATGAATTCTTTCGCACTTATTTCTTCTTTCTTATAAATTCAAATTGCGAAAGAATCTCCATTTAAAGTTTGCTGCTGCGCAGCTGCTGCAGTCTCTTCTTTGCTGCTGCTCTTCTGCAAATCTGAGTTCCTTCAAATTCCGTTTAAAAGCTCCTTTCCACTTTTTCAAATTCCGCACTTTCCCGCATTTCCACTTCTTGCTGCTGCTGCTGCTGCTGTTGCTGCTGCAGTCTTCGTTTGTGTGCACTGCGACCACCATTTATGAATTATTATTTATTATTTATTTGTTTATTTATTTATTTATTTATTTATTTATTATTTTTAGAATGGAAAACGACGAAGGCCGCGTCGTGGATCTTTACGTTCCGCGCAAATGCTCCGCCACCTCCAGGCTGATCCCGGCGAAGGAGCACGGGGCGGTTCAGATCAACGTGGGAATGGTGGGAAGCAGCACTTAATTGAATTGGACTTCATTTCATTTCGTTTCACTTCAGTTCAACTTTAATTCAATTTCAATTCACCTTTTGCTTCTTTTTATTCGCTTTCGACTTCTTTTCCACTTCTGCACTGCTGCTTTCCACTTCGCGTTTTCTGCGGCGCGCCGCTCGCCTGCTTCGGGTGTACGTACACCGGAGGCCCAGTGCACGGCGTTTCCCTTGCGCGTTTTTGTCGCCGAAATTTGGCCCTTTAAATCTCTTAAAAGCTGTTTTATTTTGCATTTCTATCAAAATTGATCTTTAAACCTTTTCAAAGCTGTTTTATGTGACGTTTATTTCAAAATTAATCTTTTAAATCTTTCAAAAACCTGCTTCATTGACATTTGTGTCAAAATTGATCTTTAAATCTTTTAAAAGCTGTTGTATTAGACGTTTACGTTAAAATTGATTTTTTTAAATCTTTTGAATGCTGCTTTGTGTGAAGTTCATGTTCAACTCAATCCCTGAAACATTTGAATTGAAATGAGTCGTCTAAAATGTTTAAAATGCCTCATGATTTGAAATATATGCCAAAAATAATATTCCAAAATGTTTAAATGCTGCTTTGTTTGAAGTTTACGTTGCAGTGAGCCTTTTAAAAGCTTTAAAGGCCTCACCACTTGAGTTTATTCGGAAATAAGTCTTTTAAAAGCTTTAAATGCTCAACTATTTGAAATGTACATAAAGACAAGTCTTTCAAGAGTTTTGAATGCCTTTATTTGAACCTTTTAAGAGCTTTAAGTGCCTTCTATTTGAACTTTTGCAAAAAGTCTTAAAATGCTTACTTGAACTGTTCCAAAGAGTCTTTAAATGCCACTTATTTGAACTTTTGCAGAAAGTCTCAAATACCTTTATTTGAACTTTGCAAAAGGACTTCTCCGCTGCTGCAGGTTGACGAGGCCGGGCGGTACACCGGCGAGTACACCACAGTGGCGATCAGCGGGGCGGTGCGGCAGCGGGGAGAGAGCGACGCATGCATGAACCGTTTGATGTTTGAGAAGAAGATTTTGAGCTTTTCGAAGTAAAAAGGGGAAGTTGGAGGACTTAATTTGCAACTCGGACTCCAGTTTGCAGTTCAACTTCCAGTTTCCACGTTCTCCGCAGTTGCTGCACTCGAAGCCCCCAAAAAGCTGAAGAGAAAAAAAAGTGACGACGCCTTATGCGCTTTCCACGCGGGGTGTATGCGCAGTTCAGGTGTACAGACACCGCGCCGAGCTGCGGTGTTTCTGCACTTCTTTCGAGTTGCAAATTTCAGAAGTATTAAACAGCGCTTTTGAATTATTAGCTCTTCTGAATTTAAAGCTCTTCTGAATTAAAAGCTCTGTTGAATTTAAAGCCCTTTTGAATCCCCTCAGGGCCTTTGGACGGGCCTTTAGTTCAGTTGGTGTTTGGGGCAGGGGCTTAGGCCAGAGTTATTCCAAAGAAACAGAAATAGTATGTTCATTCAAGTTCCATTTAATTCATTTATTCATTCAATTTATTTATTTCATTTGTTCATTTAGTTCATTTGTTCCGTCTATTCATTTAGTTCATTTATTTCTTCCTTTGGGTCTCGCTGGCGAAGACGCGGCGCTTCTTGGGTGTTCATAAATGCAAAAAGTCTTTTAAATATTTATTTGCAAAAAAATTCAAAAATGCCACCTCTGCGTATTCACGTTCCCGCTGCTGCTGCTGCCTCCCGCGGCAGCAGCAGCAGCAAAGGCCTTTGAAATCGCGCAATTGGAAATTAAAATCAAATTAAAAATTAATTTTTGAATTTAATTCAAATTGCATAATTTGAAGGAAATTCAAAACAGCTGCTGCACACGAGAGACGCAGCGCGGGTCGGAGGTCGGAGGTGCCGCCGCCGGCTGCATGCGCGGGGGGAGGCGCGGGAGAAAGTGAAGAAATAAGAAATGAAAAGAAGTAAAATGAATGAAAGAAATAAAATAAATAAATAAAATAAAATGAAATAAATACATAAAATAAAACAATTGAGCCGCATTGGCGCCACTATATCCCGCAGCAGCACCAGACTCGCCAACAGCTGCGGCGGCTGCGCAGCGAGAGACTGCAGCAGCACTTCAGGCCCTAGTGCAGCAGCACGCGTGACCAGTGGTCCACTGGTCACTCAAGGGGTGCAGCAGCAGCAGCAGCAGCAGCAGCGCGCTCCCGCTGCTGCTGCGCGCCGCTGAGGCACCGGAAGTTCTCTCAATGTCTTCTCACTTTGAAGCAGCAGTTGAAAAGAGCTTCGACAATAAGACTTAATGCGCAGCAGCGCAGCAGCAGCGCAGCAGCAGACGCAGCACAATGGCTTCCTGCTGCCACACCCTCTGCCCCGCTGCAGCAAAACTTGACCACTGCCACGGGGGCCCCCCCTGCTTCCCGAGGGGCCCCGGGGAGAAGCTGCTGCAGCGCAGCAGCAGCTGCAGCAAGGAGGGGCTATGGGCCGAGGCCTACAGCTTGGGAGAACCTGAGGGGCTTCCGGAGGCGGAGCTGCGTGCTGCTGCAGCAGCAGCAGCTGCTGCTGCTTGTGGAGGCTGCGGATGCGCATGCGCGGGGGCGAAGGACTTCCACAGCAGCAGCTGCTGCGGCAGCTGCTGCAGCGGCTGCTGCAGCGGCTGCTGCAGCAGCAGCCGCAGCCAGAGCCACCTCCCATCGGACAGGTCGCAGCTGCTGCAGCTGAAGGACTCGGCGAAGTTGTGCTGCTGCCAGCATCACTGCCCGCACCACCACCCGCTGGCTGCGCAGCTGCAGCTGCAGCAGCAGGAGGTGGAGGTGCAGGCGTCTTCAGCTGCTGCAGCCCCGCTGCTGCTGCAGCAGCACGGCGAGGCTGTGGAGTATGAGTACTACGTGTGGGACGCAGCAGCACAAGAGTATGTGCAGACGGACCAGCAAACTGGAGAACACATGCTGCGGGATCCTCAGTACTTCCAGTACCACTACAGGCTGGTGGAGAATCCCCAGGACGGCGAGGCGCTGCTGCTGCCGGAGCCGCTGGCAGCAGCAGCAGCAGCAGCAGCAGCGGCAGCGAGCTGCAGCGCAGCAGCGGCGGAGGAGGCCTCCAGCGAGGCGCCCAGGGCCCACGCCGGGACGCCCAGCCTCTGCAGGGAGCAGCTCGAGGAGGACTGCAGCAGCAGCAGCAGCGCAATTAATGAAATCCAAGAAGAAGCAGAGTTGCTGCAGACTCCCGAGTCTTTGCTGACGCCGCAGCAGCAGCAGCGGTGGGAGGGGGCTGTGGCTGCGGCGTGCCGCGGCGGCTCCGGCTGCAGCCACCTCCAGCGCAGCAGCTTGCAGCTGCAGCAGCAGCAGCAGCAGCAGCGGGGCGGCCGCCCGCGGCGATTTGGACTGTGAAAAAGGCGAAAGACAGGGCGAGCCTGGGCTCGTTTGGAAGCTACAGGGAGTCAGTGCTGCCCCCCAGGGGGTCCACTTCTTCATAGTGAGGAGCGCCGGCGAGGGGAGACTCGAAAGAAGTGGTGGAGCAGGTGGAGCTGCGCTTGGGGAGGGCGTGGCCGCAGAGGGAGAGGCTCTGGGGCGGGGGGTAGAAGTGGCCAATGGGAATTAGTTTGTCGAGTCCGGAGTGCAAGCAGCTGTCCTCGAGTTCCGGAGAAGTGCCGGTGGAGGTGAAGCTGTTGACGGAAGTGTTTTTGGAAAAGGAGCCGCAGGATGAAAGGCCCTCCGGCTCTTCGAGCGGCTCCTCCAGCTTCGCCGGCGCAAAGTAAAAGGAGGCGTCGCTCGCCAGAATCCAGTTTTGAATCTCCATGGGGTGATCTTGCGATTGGAAGTCGGGCACGCACTCGAAGACGGGCAAGACCACGTTCACTGCCTCCGAGGTGGAGTGCTGCGAGACGAAGGCGCGGCAGTTCTCGTCGTAAAACAAGTTTTCCATCATGCAGAGTTCCTTCATGGGCGTCAGGTTTCCCCAGCCCTTCTCGAAGGCCCGCATGTACGTGTTGTACACGTCGGTGGTTTCGACGCGTCTTCGGATTTGGTGGAGGTGCAGGGGAAACAGAAACGGAGTTGTCAGCAGCTGCAGCGCCGTGGGCCGTTTCTGCGGGTCTCGAGTCAGGCACTTCAGCAAGAACTCCTTCGCGTCTTGCCGGAGGCAGGGGAGGCGGTCGGTGACCTGCTTTTCTCGGAAGGCGGGGATCTGCCGCGCAGCTTCCTGTTGAGTTGGCGTGGAAAGGAGTTTTCGAAAGCAACGGAAGCGCCGAAAAGCCTTACGTGGATGTTGAGACACTCGAAAAGACGGTCGCCGGTGAGCAGTTCGAAGAAAATGGTTCCGACGGCCCAGACGTCGACGCCGAAGCTGTACCCCCTTTCGGAAGGGAGGAACTGCTCGGGCGCGCATGCGAAGCAAGTGGTGTAGTTTTTGGTCAAGACAGTTCCGGGTTTGACTTTTCTGAAGGCGGGGCGGGTGCGGGGGAGCTGCGGCGGGGAGAGAGGTGTGGACTTACACGCTGTTTCCGAAGTCGATGATCTTGAGTTCGTCGTTTTGGAAAGTTTCGCCGTGGCGGACGAGAATGTTTTGGGTTTTGAGGTCTCTGTGGATGACTTGTTTGGAGTGGATGAGGACGAGGGAGCAGACGATCTGGTAGACGTAGGCCCTGGCCATGTCGAGCTGAAGCAGCAGCAGCAGCAGCAGTGAGCGGCGCAGCAGCAGCGGGAGGCGCGAAGCGAGCTCACGGGCATTCCCTTCAGGAACTTGGACTTGAGCACTTTGCGGAGTTCGCCGCCGCCCACCAGCTCGAGGGCCATGTGGTCGTGAGCGTCCCCGAGAGCGCTGTGGTGAGCGACCGCAGCAGCCACTGCGGAGTTCCCCACTTCGAGAGCGACGGAGTGCGTCACCAGGCCCAGGAAGCGGGAGGGGTGGGGGTCTTGGGCTTTGTAGGCGAGCAGGGGCCCCCGCAGCCGCACTTCTTGAATGAGGCCAAATTCGTGTCTCAGCATTTCTTTGGGTTCTCTCTTGATGGCCACGGGCATGCCCTGCCGCCGGTCAATCCCCAGAAAGACTTCGCCGTTGCCGCCCTTCCCCAGCCGCAGCTCCAGCAGCACTTCGAAGCGCCGGCTCACCGAGACTTCGTACTCCGTGAAGGTCTCCGTCTCCGCTGCGCTCGAGTCCGAGTCGGGGGGCCCCCGGGGGGCCCCTGGGGGCCCTGGGGGCCCCGCTGGGCCCGCAGCGGCGGGGGGGCCCCTCGACGCCCAGCAGGATCCGGCGGAACGAAAAAGAACAGAAGCCGGAGTCCTCGGGACTTGGGAGTTTCCCGCGAAGTCCCGACCGCGGCACCACGCGGAAGCTGCAGTTTTCCGCAGAGTCCACATGGCTGAAAACTTCAAAGCCCTTGGGAGTTTCTCGAAAAAAGTTCCAAGTCCCGCAGCTGCCCTCCGCGAAGGGGGCCCCCGCGGGCACGCTCTGGCGCACCGAAATGTTCCTGTCGCGGATCTTCACCCGCAGGTAGCTGCAGCTGCTGCTGCTGCTGCTGCTGCAGCTGCTGCGGTACTCGGCGAAGGGGCCCGCGGGCACCGGCTGCAGCGAACCTGCAGCGCTCTGCGTGCAGCTGCAGCCAATTATGTACTCGCCGTTCTCCCGAAACACAAACGTGAAGGGAGTTGGAGCCGATTGAATCAGACAAAAGTAATAAGCTTTCCGCAAAAACTTCTCCGGCACGCAGCCCAGCGCCTGCTGCCGGGCCTCTGCTGCGCTCCCCGGAGCCGGAGACACCATTTCCACTCCGGCCTTTGCCAAGTTGCTGATGGGCCTCCACCGCGCAAACATCTTGGCGGACGTGAAGTTGAATTCGACTTCTTTGAAAGTTGAATTCGCCTCCTTTGAAAGTTGAACTTGACTCCTCCGAAAGTTGAAGTCGACTCCTTCGAAGTCTGGACTCGACTCCTTTGAAAGTGGAACTCGACTCCTTTGAAAGTGGAACTCGACTCCCTTGAAAACTGAATTCGGGCTCCGTTGAAAACGGTATTCGGACTCCGCGGAAAAACTGAATTCGGGAAACGCTACGTAGACGATCGCATGCGAATCAACGACGCCCTTGCGGCGCTCCCACTTAAAACGAAGGTACACGAGGAAAAAATGCAGAAGCAGTTGAGCAGTGCGATGCGAGCTTCCCAACCGCTGGTCTAGACTTGTGAAATTCAGCTTTCTGGAAAGCGACTCCGAATTCAAAGTGGGAACTACAGGATCGCGCGGGTTGCGATTGCGCGAATAAACATATTCATGAAAAAAGATTAGCAAAACATGATTAGCAGACGCTGAGCATGCATTTTCACGAGATAGGTGGCTACTTGAAGGTATTCTGAAACCTCACACTGAAACGCCTCCGCCACTGCGCCACAGAGCTGTCCGTACACCCAGCCGTGCAGAACTGCTACTGCCAATCTCCCGCTACAAAGCCCTACATTTGGCTTCTAGCTCTTCCTTTTCGTTTCCATTACTTCTGCAAGTCTCAACTGCCTTCAGTGTTTCTGAAACTCGAGAGGATCGGTGCAAAATTTCGGCGGAATCGCCCGTTTTGCAGCTTTTGCAGCTTTGCACTACTTGAACTCACTGCGACCGCCGGCGATTCAACGGCCTCTGGCTATTTAAAAAGTTGCTGTGGAATGTGTTGAGCGTTTGCAAAGTGCCTGAAGTCAGACACGTCGAACTGCCACGTTTCTCTCCCATGTCGCCGCTGCTCGCCCCGGAAACCCGGCGATTTCGCGCTTGTTCGCAGCGATCTAGGCTATTCAGAACTAAATTTTTCTTTTAAAAGTTTATTTGTTCTTTTTTTTTTAGCGAAAAGAGCCGCTGGGGGCCCCAGTGGCTGCAGCTGCCGATCGGCGTGAGTGGCTAGCGGGGCGGGGGCCCGAGTTCGACGGCTCTGCTGCAGCTGCTTTTAAATGCTTGAAAAACGCACTTTCTCTTTTAAATCATTTCCAGAAGCATCAAGTAAAGTTTGAATAACTTCCCTTCGGCTTTGCTGCTGCTGCAGCGGGACGCAGCAGCAGCAGCAGTCGGCTGCCCGGCAGCTTTCGGCAAAACCTGCTGCTGCAGCAGCTCTCTGTGCAGACGCTTCGCTAAATAAGCCGGAGTCCCGCGCTTTAATAGATCTCCGAGGACCTGAGCTTCGCTGCTGCTGCTGCTGTTGCTGCTGCTGCAGCTGCTGCTGGCCCAGTGGTTCTTGTGGCGCGGTGGCCCTGGGAAAGCCGGCGGCGCGGGTCACGAGGGCCCCGTGACCAGTGGTCCACTTGGGCTGTTTCTGAGAGAAGCTGGTGGACTTTGGTTGCAGTTCGAGGCAGTTTTTGGGTTTGAAAAGCTTCGAAAAGGCCAAGTTTCGGAGCAACAGCAGCAGCCGCCGGCGCTGCGGCATCTCGAGCCTCGCAGCAGCAGCAGCGCGAACTTCTGCAGCTGCAGCGCTGCAGCAGCACTGCAGCAAAACTTTCCCCGCGCTTCTGCAGCAAACTAACCAGCGGCCTCTTCCCCGGAATCCGCGCGAGGCCCTTCCCCGGCGCTCCCGCCTTCCCGCCTCGCCGCCGCCGCCGCTGCTGCTGCTGCTGCTGCTGCTGCTGCTGCTGGGGCCCCCTCCGCGCCATGGAGGGCCCCTGGGGAGGGGGCAACCCCTTCCTGCACAGGTGCCTGCTGCGGGGGGACTTCATGGCGTTCTTCGCAGAGCTGGAGAAGACGAAGAACTTGTTTGAACGCGACCGGGGCGGGCGGACTGCGCTGGACCTGGCGCTGCAGCTGGCGGCGGAGCTGTTTCAAAGCTGCTTCAGCACTTCGTTTGCGGTGGACAGCGGTGGTCTGGTCCAGTGGTCCGCGTGCAGCTGCGCGGCGTGCGCGCACCGCCGCCACCGCAGCATGCGCGACGGCGCCGGCGAGGCCGCCCGCGAAGTCCACTGCAAAAACCCTTTTCGCGTCAAATATAATGAACAATACTTAAATATGTACTCCCAGCCCAGACAAATGCGCCTCGAGGCCGAAGTCAAGCCCCCGGTGCCCGCGCTTCCCCCCAAGTTCAAGTTCACCCCCGTCGAGTACCCCCCGGGCTGGACCCCCGACGCAGCTTCGCCCGCGCCGCGGCCCCGAGGACCGCGGGGACCAGTGGACCACTCCGGGGGTGAGCTCGTGGACCACTGGCTCTCGCCGCGCGGCTTTCCGCAGCGGATTGCAAATTCACCTTTCGCAGCCGCCGCACGCAGCTGCCCCCTGCTGCTGCTCCTTCTTCTCCCCAACTGCTCAAAGTGCTGCTGTTTACGCTCTCTCTTCCCTTTTCGGCGTTTCGGCCTCCGCAGCTAAGAGCTGGCTGCGCTTTCTCGCTGCTTCGGCGGCTGCAGTTCCGCAGCTTTCCGGCCGAGGCAGGCGGGAATTTGGGGCTTAAAGTGTGCGCATTCTCGCTCTAGACTGGCTTTAACTTCTTGCTATTAATTCTAATTGCTATATTCCCCATTGTTGCTGCTTTTCGTTGCGTTCAGCGGCGTTTCCCCTGCCCTCCGGCGCCGTGGGTCCCGTGCCCAGCGGCGCAGCGCCGCAGCAGTACTTCTACCCCTGCGAAGCCGAAGGGCCAAACCTGGAGGGCAGCCGCCTGCAACTTGAACAACTGAAGCTGGAGAACAAAATGGTGCAGCGGGAAGTGCTGGTGCTGGTGGAAGAGGTGTGTTCGGGGCCTCTGTGCGAGACGATGCGGGCGCGCATGCGGCGGCTGCTGCGGAAGCTGCGGTCGCTCTTGCTGGTTTTGAAGCGCCTCGGAAGCTGCAACATGCTGCGCATTAAAGCCACAGAACAAGCCGTGGAGTCGGGGCTGCTGCAGCAGAAGATCACTTACCCTTTCCTCTACACCGCGCTGCTGCACAGGGCTTTCAAGCAGTACCCCAACGGGCCCAACGGACAGGTGGGCGAAGTTCAAAAACTCCAGAAAGCTGCAGATTCTGCAGCAACACGGCGCCAAATGCTGCGTTTATGCTGCTGAAAAGTACAATTAATTGCCAGCAGTTCCACTCTCAACTTTTCAGAGCTGCTGTCTTTCGGTAACTGCATTTCTGCCGCCGGTTCATCAGTCACAAACTGCGATTTCTGAATCTGCGTGTTCACTGCTGCACTAAATTCGCTGTCTTTTGCGCATTTATCCTTTAATTGTGCCTCGCTTTATTCTTTTCCGCCGCGGCAAGTGTTTTAAAACTTCTTCGTTCCGTCTTTTCCTCAGCCGTTTGACCCGCTGAACCCCGCGGACGGCCGCCGCATGGTTCAGCTTCTCGTGAACTACCAAATGCCGGGCTTTGAATTGGTTCTTTTCCTCGGAAACTTGACGGCTCTATTTAGCGACTTTGTTTCGTTTTTCGCGCAAGACGACGTGCGGATCTGGCGGCCGTGCAAGGAGGTGCAGCAGTACTACTTGCACATGGCGTTCTCGCTCGACAGCGCCGATCTTTTCAAATTCATCATTAATTACGGACAACTTCTCTTCGTGGGAAACGCAGACGTCTTCAAATGGGAAGATCTTCTTTATGTTCTCATGGAGGTGCGTTTCGATGCGCCAGTTTCGGCTCTGCTGCTGCGAACAAGCCACGCTCGCTTTCCCGATTCAACTTTTCTGCATTTTGCGTTTTTCTGCATTTATTCTCGTTTTCGAATCTTCAGTCCTTTTTAATTAGCACAACAGCTCCATTTGAAAACAGATTCGCCGATTTGAAGTTCGTTTTGTCTCCAGTTCAAGTTCTTCTGAAGGCTGTTCAAATTTCGCTGCGTTTTTGTCGCCTGTTCCATTCCTTTTTGTTCACACTTTGCAGCATAGACCCATTTAATGGAATAAAAATGCACATTTTTACGTTTTAAAAATAATAATTTATTAAACTAAATGTTTGTGGAGTCCTTAAAAGCAACTGCATTGCAGCTTTCTTGTTTTTGCAATAGTTGAAATGCGCATTTCACGCAAGACGAGTTGCGTTGCAGCTTCCGGCGCGAATCTTCGTTTATTTCGTCGCTTTCGCCGTAATTCAAATTAGATTTCATTTTAATTTACTAATTTTTCATTTAATTGAATTATTTTTCAATTTTGATTCAATATTTCCTTCTTTTCCGCAGCACCGAGACAAGTTCCGCCCCTACTTCTCCCCCCTGCTGGCCTCCCGCCTGAAGAGCCGCGTGCAGAAAAGACTTGTTGAAGAAGGATCTGCAAAAGAAATTCGCAAAAAGTTCCCTCCAGGTGATTCAAAACATTTTAATTTCATTTACTTCTTTTTATTTCCCACTTTACAATCATTTTAAACATTTTTATTTCATTTTTCTCCTTTTGTTCTTCACAATAAATGCCCCAAGATCCACCTCCCCAGCCCGCGCCTCCGGCCCTGCTTCGCACTGCTGCCACCTCCCCAGCTACAAGCAGCAGCAGCAGCTGCAGCAGCAGCAGCAGCAGCTGCTGCTGCTGCTGCTGCTGTTGCTGCTGCAGCTGCTGCTGCTGCATCGCTACGCCTTCAATGCAATCAGAAGCAGCAAATTGAAACATGCAGTTTCTCCGCAGTCCTAGGCAATGCGAGCAGCGGTTTCCGGCTCAATTTTTTTAGTTTTTTGAATTTTTTCCCGCTGCTGCTGCTGCTGCTGCTGCTGCAGAGCCGGTGAAGTACCCGTGCGAAGAGCGGCTTTTGACGCAAAAGGTGCTGAGCGAATTTGGATCTCTTTTTGGAAACGAAGAAGCCCAAGAGCTCAGCGAGCTGCTCAGCAGGTGGAAGTACGGAGCAGCAAGGCCCCAGGAGGAAGCAGCAGGCTTCTCCCGCAGCAGCAAACTGCAGCAGCAGCAGCAGCAGCAGCAGCAGCAGCAGCGCAGGCCGTTCAGAAGTTACGGAGGCGCCGCCGCCTCTCCCCAGGCCTTCTGGGCGTAGCACGAAACCCAAGTTCAGACACAAATGCTGCTGCTGCTGCTGCTGCAGCAGCAGCAGCGGCTCTCGTTTCCGTCGCTGCAGCAACAATGATGGAAAGACGCTGGCTTGCCACAGCCTGGCGCTTGAGCAGCAGCAGCTGCTGCTGCTGCAGCTACTGCAGCGGCTGCTTCTGCCGCTGCTGCTGCAGCAGGTGCTGCTACAGCAACTGCTGCTATTGTTGCTGCGCCAGAGCTGCAGCAGAGCGGGCAATGGAAATGCTGTGCACATATGGTGCTGCTGCAGATGAACCTAAAACCGCCTTCTATAAATTAGGGCTCAGTAGAGGAACTTCAAATAAATAATTAATTCAAATAAATAAATGCTTCAAATAAAATAAATAAAAATGGAGGAAGATAAATTAAAATGGAAAAGAACAAACTGAAGTAGAAGAAGACAAAAGGCAAACACAGCAGCTGAAGGAAAAAATAAAAAGCGGCAGAGACTGCGGCAGCCACAGAGAGAAAAAGAAACAGAAAAGAAACTATATTGTCAAATAAAACGTTTAATTGGACATTTAATTCAAATCAGTTAATGAAAATCATATTTTTTGGTTCATTTCAAAAGTCTTAAGTTGAAATGGCCGTTCGAACTGGCCGCGGCCCGTGCGTTGGGGTGTACAGACAGCTACCGGCAGCAGCTCTATTATGACCATTTTCATTTGCAGATTAAAAATTACATAAAATAAAATGAAGAAATGAAAAATGAAAGTTGAGAGTTGAAGAGAAGAAGCAAAGAAGGGGAGAGCGCTGAGGTGTACAGACACCTGCGGTTGCCGCCGCGCGGCGGCGCGGAAATGAGAGAACATCTCTCGGAGTCCATTATTTATTTATTTCATTTATTTGTCTTTTATTTCTCTTTTATTTCTCTTTTATTTCTCTTTTGTTGTCTTTTATTTCTTTATTTTTCTTCTTTTCCGTCTTCATCACCGCAACTTGCAGTGGCGACTCACCATGGCCTTCAGCTCCGCCGGCAGAGCCCCCGTCAGCTTCGAACAGCAGCAGCACCAGCAGCAGCAGCAGCAGCAGCAGCAACAGCGCAGCAAAACAGACAAATCGAATATTTAACTAAAGCATCAAACAAATAATAAATAATAAATTTAAAAGTCATTTCAATCAACCAATAAAACACAAATCATTTCCCAATGCGGCATGTGAAACAACTGCCACAAACATGAACTACTTGCAAAAACAAACGCAGCAGCAACTGCAGCAGCAGCAGCAGCTGCTGCTGCTGCTTTACAACGCACGTTTTGAATATGCATGCTTGACTATTAAAGACGCAGACCGACACATATTTCCGAAGAGAAAAGAATGAAAAATAAAAGGATTTAAATGCAATTTAATTCTTTTTAAAAAGATCTTTTCGAGAAAAGAATAAAAATAGAAACGATATAAAGCCAATTTAATTGTTTTTAAGATTCTTTTTAAGGAGACACGCAGAAGAAGACCAGCAGCAAAATGCAGTCGAGAAAAAGGAGCACAAAAACAGCAGCAGCAGCAGCAGAAGTAGCAGCAGCAGCAGCAGCAAAAAAGAAGTCATCTGGGAAGCATTATTTAAAATAGGTTAAAAGTCACTATAAAATATAAATGCATAAAAGACAAAAGGAGAGACTGGTTGGAAGGAGCAAAGAACCGCGGAAGAGCAGCAGCAGCAGCAGCAGCAGCAGCAACAACAGCAGCAGCAACAGCAAGCAGACGCAGCCACCACCGCACAAGGAACAGCAGCCGCAACTAAAAGCCGCAGCAGCAAAAGAGACAGCAGCAGAGGAAGCAGCAGCAGTGAACAACAGCCGCAGCAGCACAAAACAGCAGCACCACCAAACAGCAGCAGCATCCCAAAACAGCAGCAGCATCAAACAGCAGCAGCACCGAAAAGCAGCAGCACCGAACAGCAGCAGCAGCAGCATGACCAAACAGCATAATCAAACAGTCAACAAGCAGCAGCAGCAGCATAACCAAGCAGCAGCGGCAGCATAACCAAACAGCAGCATCACCAGCAGCAGCAGCACAACCAAACAACAGCAGCAGCACCACCAACACCAGCAGCAGCAGCAGCAGCAGCAGCAGCAGCAGCAGCAGCAGCAGCAGCAAACCTGGTCTGCGAGTTCTTTGTTTCGGAAAACTTGAAAAGTGGGCAGCGCCTGCGGCAGCTGCTGCAGCCCTTCGACGGCCTCCACGTCCACAGCAGCAAACAGCGCCGCGTGCGCAGCAGCAAGTTCCTGCAGCAAATTAATTATTTAATTAATTTAATTAATTAATTAATTAATTTGATTATTTATTTATTTAATTAGTTCAACTTAATTTGTTTAAACTGGAATTCAAATTCGAAAGAATTCGACGGCGATTTGCTCGGTACGCGAATAGAGAGGCACACACACTAACAGCTAGCTAGCTAGCTGGCTGGCTAGCTGGCTAGCTAGCCGGCTAGCTAGCTGGCTACGTGGCTAGCTAGCCGGCTAGATAGCTAGCTAGCTGGCTAGCTGGCCTGCTAGCTGGCTAGCTACCTAGCTGACTGGCTAGCTAGCCATGTGGCTGGCTAGTTGTGTGGCTGGCTAGCTGTGCGGCTAGCTGGCTGGCTAGCTAGCTATGCGGGTAGCTGGGTAGCTAGCTAGCTAGCTGCAGACCCAAACCCAGCAACTCTCTATCCACAGCTAGCTAGCTGGCTACAGACATGGACGCCTTGCTGGCCAGCTACCGAGCTAACTAGCTAGCTAGCCAGCCAGCTAGCTGGCTAGCTAGCTAACTAGTTAGGCGTCTGGCTAGCTGCCTCGACAGCTAGCTAGCCAGTGAACCAGCTAGCTAGCCACCTAGCTAGCTAGCTAGCTAGCTAGCTAGCTAGCTAGCTAGCTAGGTGGTCACCTGGAAGAGGGGCTTGATTCTGCTGCAGGGGCGGCACCAGGGGGCCCCGAAGGAAAGGACGAGAGGGCAATTTGCTGCTGCAGCAGCAGCTTTTAGTTCCTCCACTTCTGCTGCTGTCTTGACTTCCACCACAGTCCCCTGGGAGCAGCAGCAACAAACGCAGCAGCAGCAGCAGCAGCAGCAGACGCGCAATGAGGCTGCTGCTGCAGCAGCAGCTGTTGCTGCTGCTGCTGCGGGTTCTGGTGCTGGTGCTGCTGTTGCTACTGCTGCAGTTGCTGCAGGCGACGCTGTTGCTGCTGCTGCAGGTGCTGCTGCTGCTGCTGCACGTGGTGGTGCTGCTGCTGCTGCAGCTGCTGCGGCTCACTGCATGCATTTTAATGTGCACAAGTGCAAAGTGTAATTTACATAAAACCACAAATAAAGAAAAACGAATTAAACTGAATTTAATTTAAATGAAAATTTATAAATTAAACATTTGTAAACTTAACTGTGTCTGCATGCAGTGTACGTACACAAGCAGCAGCAGCAGCAGCAGCAAAAGAGTCTGGAAGACAAAAGTGGGGAAAATAAAAAAAGAAATGATAAAAAAGAAGGTGAATTTGCAACCGCATTTGTTGACTGCCGTATATACACCTGGAGCTGCAGTGACACCCGAATTCGAAACTGGATTTGAATTTAATTTCACTTTTAATTTAAATTCAAAATTGGGAAATGTGTGGGGTCGGAAGTTGCAATTTCAAATACACTGAACTGGCACGGGCGGGCGACAAGTGCGGAATCCGTGGCGTTGGAGTGTCCAGACAGCTCGTTTTGAGCGGAAAACGAAATAAATAAATAATTTTATTTATTTTAAAGATATAAAAACGAAAAATTTCGGAAAAAAGGCGGGAAAACGGCGGCGTGGGCGCGCGTCTGCGCACCCGTCTTCTTGCAACAAGAGGCTCCTGGGGGCCGGCGGCGGCGTCCGCGGGCGTTTCCCGCGGAAACTTTTGAATTTCTTTTCCCGCTTTTTCTTTTTTCGGAATTAAAAAACTAAATAAACGAATTAAAGGCCTCAGGAGCATCAGGGCGAGGACGCCCAGGTGCCAGAGCGGCACGCAGATCGGCCCTATGCAGATGATCATTGGCCAGGTGTACGTACACCTCGGCGCCACGGCGCGCCCGAAAGTCGCCAACGACGAACAGGCAGAAGAAACAAAACAATTAAAGTGCAAAGCAATGAAAGAACTTGCAAAGATCCGCGAAAATCGGGGCGGAGTGCAGAAAGCGGAAACCGGAAACGCCGCGCCTCCAGCACCTGTCTGTACACCTCAACCAAAGAGAGCGGACCCAACGAACTGGTCCTTTCACTTTTATTTAATTCATTAATTCATTAAAATCCAAAATGCGAACGCCTGCGGACTCGGAGAACCAAAAGGCAAAGAAAGACTCGTCCTCGTTGCTGCAGCGCTGAAGCTGCAATCCGCAGCAGCAGCAGCAGCAGCAAAATGAAGAACACAAAAGCAGCAGCAAACAAATAAATAAATCAAACTAACAGAGACACACATAAGCACGGAGACAAGGCCCGGCACATGCAGTCACTCTCCAGAAAACGCTGCTGCTGCTGCTGCTGCGGCTGCTGCTGCAGTCCTTCTTTGCCTTCTTCTGCTTTACAGGCCACCACATTTTCCAGCAGCATTTTCTTCTTATCTTTTCTGTTTAAGTTTCATTTTTGCTTCCTACGATCTCTGCCTTAGCTCTTTCTGCTTCGGGAGCGGCAGCAGCAGCAGCAGCACCAGCAGCAGCAGCAGCA